ATACTTTTGTGGACGCTAGCAAAACGAGATTTAAACGTTTCATTCGGTCGACAGCGCGTAAAATCGGTTCGAATTGACAAAGAACACATATACAGAAGAAAGCTTTTTAATGGCCACTAGATTTATACTTTTCCCTATATATAAAGAACAAAAACGAAAAAGAGTTACATGCAAGTCACCCTCTATCAATGATTGTCCAATTCTTATAAAGGGACATTTTTATAAAAAAAAAAATTCTTCGAACCCTATATTATTATATGATGCATTTTTATAAATACAAAAAAAAAAAATACCAACAAACAAAAATGATAAAACTTTTCGTGAATAAATAATCGAATAATACATCCGATTACAAGATCAAATATAAAATAATACAATAACATTTATAGTTAATAAATTATCTATACAAATTAAAACTTTAACCAAAAAAATATAATTTTTATAGCTTAACAAATAAAAAAACATATCGAAACTCATTTATATTATATAAAATATTTTTATTTTTTGTTAAAAATTATTTTATTATTATCGTATTTATTCTAACTTCATTTTAGTTTCCAATCAACTTGGTTTAGCTTCATTAGCGGAAAAAATGCACATTATGAGTGTTGACTTTCTAAAAGGATTGTTAGTTGTTAGAGTTGACTCCCTGAATTCACTCTCCTTTATACATTTTAAAATTCCATAACGCACCTCTTGTTCCATTACAACATTCCATATCCATCTGTGTACAACCAATAACTCATAAAATAAATCTATGAGACGATAATGTCTTATGCGAGTCAGAATGCCACTTTTCTTATCTAACCACCTATTTAATAAGTTAGCATTTTTTCATTATACTGAATTTATTTCTCTATTGTTATAATGTTTTTTAACCATAATTTTTTATGAATCATATGTCTATCTATAAATATTACTTGTAAACTGTAATGAAGAGCTCAGTCCGTATATATTATAAAATAAAGTATATACAAAAACAAATATTGAATATATTTAATACGGTCAAAAATAAAATACTATATATGTACTTTACAATACACATATTATTACAAATTATAATTTTTACGTGTTATATATAATATGTATAAGTATATGTTATATATTTATAGATGTAGCACTAAACGATTCTTGGACGTATAATTTTAAACGTATTAAAAAATACAAGAGGAGTGTACTTTTTCTTTTTTTCTACTAACAGTCGATATATTTATTGTTTCCGAAAAAAGTGCTACGAACTGTTTTCTCCCTTTTCTTAAATTGGATTGGCCAACCAGCATAAAATACATGCCTTGCACGGGGAAAAACGGCCTAGGGTGTTTAGAATCCGAATAGCTTTACCCCCTATTTTATTTTACTCCGAAAGTCCGAAAAAAATAAGTAATTTATATTAAAGACGAAGGGATTCGAACGACTTACGATTGTATTTCTCTTAGCCTTTATTTTCCCAAGCTGTGATATAGAATTTAGCCTTTGATGATTGATGTTTTTGGGCAAATCCTATACCGGATGTTTAAAGGAATTCCATAGTTGGTTACGATATACCTTCTGTAGGGTAGTATCATGGGAGAGAGGAAAGAGTGGTATTTACCGGCTTACACCGCGGTTCGTTGGCTTCCTGTTAGGATGCGATAAATTTTAGAACGCGAGACTCGACTCTTAAAAACAGGATTGCTTTTGAAACGTAAATCAAAATACACGGTATCCATATATGCAAGGGTGAAAGAAAACCTCCTGGATACTATTCTTATCGCAAAAATATATTTTTTCATTTTAAACATTCCGTATTATAGAATATGAATCAATAAGGTTAGAAAAAAATATCATTACATAATATTTTAATTTGTACGAACAAATACTGATTGTACTATAAGACACATTAATATAATTTCTAGAATTAATAATTTAGAAATATGTTTTTGATAAAATATAGATAGTCTTATAGTATATAAAATAACATAAATAATTGAAAAAAAAAATATTATAAATTATATGAAAATTGGAAATAAAACAATATACATGTAAATGAGTAACATGGACAGTAAACCACTAAAAATAAATAAAAAAAAACGGTATCTTGTCTAAGAATTTTAAGCAGGTAGACACTTAAGGTCAAACAAATGTGTGTAAATATTATTTTAAAATAATTTTTTCTCTATAATAAACGAGTTGAATTTTTATCGAAAAATAATCCAGTTTACGAGATTATCGTTCGAAAGGTACCCTATTTATACGATACACTTTACCTCCCTAAAGTATTATTACTATAGTATGTATTTATAATGCAATCCCATGTTTTGCATAATGTAATTTATAGCTAAGCCGAGTATTGCCGTTAATCGAAACGCCAGGTTAATTTAAATTCACTGATTATATAGACTTCCTAACCTTTTACAAATTCATATAATCATATATACATCACTTATGTGTATACTGTATACCTTTATAAATTTATTGTTTTATTCATACACAGCAATAATGCAATTTGTTGCAAAAAGTTCTACAACACCTAAAACTATATAATAATTAATATGTTTAAAAAAAAAACTAGATAAATGTGGATGTATATCCGCACCTTTAATGACAACATATACCTAATACTTGTAGGGGGTACTGAGAAATATTTTTTTTTTAGAAAATTGAGTTGACCAACAGGCGTAACGTCCAATTAAAGCCAAACACTCTTAGCCGATACTTGAACCGTAACACAAAGGTCTCAGATGGTTAAATAAGATTTCACAAGAACTTCCCCTATATTGAAGTTCTTTATGCGCCCCCCGGGACGACTTCACTCTTGGCAACCCGTCCGAGGGACATTTATCATTTTCGGACACGAAACAATTTTCCATATGAAATTAATCCGAATTCTGTTACGCTGTTTTTTAATCGAAAACCCAAAAATATTTTATTTACAAAGTCAATCCATGATTATGTTTGCGTAAACACTATTTTTGTTTGATCTAAAAGATTACTCGTTTACCGAGGACAATATGTACAACAAACAAGGGTAGTATCTCCTCCTTTATTTCGTCATACTCTTTTGAACGGACGTTTTTTTGACATTGTTCTCGCTATCTCTTTGTTTCGGGCAAACGAAATGCAGCACTTTTCAAAATTAAAAGGGGGAAGTTGTGTGGAAAGCGAAGCGACGGACCGTTGTCACTCTAACTCTTCACATGAAACATAAACCAGAGCCGAAAGGGATTGTCATTAGCTTAAATATAAAACATATATATATATATATATATGCATTATATATTATATTTAGTACATCATACACAAGAGTGTTATATAAAATTATATACAAAGTGCATATTATGTCATTCGTCAAGTAATTTCTATTATGTTTTTTACATTTTTTATTGTTAATGTTCAACATTATAGAATTTAAAAAAAAAAAAAAACAAAATGATAAGAGACTATATGTTTGTTTAATTTTAAACAAGATCATTTTTTTTTAGAAAAATCTTATTCAAATGTAATTTATATTTTTTTATTTTACTAATTAATATTATAGCTTATTGCTTATATTTTGTATATAAGTTCAGTGATATTGTGGTGTTGCATATGAGATGGTTGCGATTTATATGGACGGTATTCACATATAATAGTATTTTATGATATAAATTATAATAGATACATACTAACTTTTTTTTTCACAATATAAATTATATAATATATGTATAAAATTTATTATATCAAATTTGAACTCTCCCCCTTCTCTATAAATTAGTCGAGGGATGGCACTATGAAATCGGTCGTCATAAAAATATGTAATAAATAAGTTTTCTTTTCAAAAGAGTAGTTATCAAATATCTGAGTAATCGAAATTTGAATTGTCAAAAAAGTTGTATACTCTTGAGAAGCCTATATATATCTTTGAAACTTAAAAAATAAATCATGCACTGTTGACAGTTTTGACACAGCTGAATCTAAGTTGTTTTCAGATAGTTTATAAAATATATATTATATGTCTCTTGAGATTATTATTTCATTCATTGTTTTAACTATTTTTTCTTAAATAATTGTTTTTTTTTTCTATTCACTACAATACTCGATAGTGACGATAGTATTATATTTTAAGTAATTGGCAGCTATTGAACTTTAAACAAAGTTAATAGGTACAAATAGCTGTTATTTACAACGTAAACAATTTTTTTTTTTATTGCATAAGTGTATTAATTTATTATATTACTTTAAAGTAATGACATTTCCATTAGCAAACTAATCAAATTAGAAAGAAGTTAATATACATTTTTATACACTTATTTACTTATTTACCAAAAAAATACATAGTGTTAAAAACCTAGATGTTTATGTATACTGTAAGATGAAATTAAAAAATATAATATAATTTATTTCAATGCATTTCTTTATAAAATACAAAATTTACAAAAAAAATACTAAAATATGATAAAAATTGTTTTGAAAAAAATAAAATAAAATAACGATAATTAACTATTGACTTTCGAATCGAATTAACTATACTAATATACCTTATATATTTTATCAACTTATAAATAATGTATATAAGTACTTTATATGTGTGCATAAGTAGGTACTGCTTTATATACTAAAACATTCAAACGTAGAAATTGTCTTCGATCCCAGTAAAATATAAACAGATTTCGTTGGGTTCTATACACCACAAAGACAAAAGTCTTGTTTTCAATCGCAAGTTATCTCGACAAAGCCATAATAACATATCAAGTCAAATTCGACCTTTTTTTTACCCGTTTAAAATATTTACGATATATATTAACTATAGGAGTGCGGGAACACGATGTGAAAGGGGAACCGTTACTTGCCGAAGAATTCAATATTACCAGTTCGTTCACTGAGAGCACACAAAAGACTGCACGAATTGTTATCCAGCTGGTCACCATGCCAACGCAGGGGTGACCCTCATTTGCCTAACTGACCAGGTTCCTCCGTAAATAATATTATATACATTTTGCAAAATCGGAGACGAATTATAACTGATATTATGTTGTACTCACCCGAGCTAATTGTTTTTGCAGCTTGGAGTTTAGCGTCCTCTCCCTTTGCGTAATTCGCCGTTCCGCGACTAACTCAGATTCCAATTGCACGATTTTCGCTTCCATATACTCCTAAAAAAACAAAAATAAAAAATGTATAAACTTTGGCTAATTTTCAATAGGTACTAAAACTATTAATCATGAAATAATATAATATTACTATATAATTATGAATATTGATTAATCGTTGTATAATAGTATACGAAGAATATGCATAAAGAATAATAATATTTATATAGTATTATTAATTATTATAGGTACATAAATATGTTACCAATGCAACAATTATTGATAGAGAACGAAATAAAATGTTATCAAAATACGAGTAATAAATATATATTAAGTTTATTATGGTAATACTTGCATTATAATAAACATTTATTTATAATAAAATAATAAAAAATGGAGTTAAAATTAAAATCATTAATAAAATGTAACAATTAAAAAAAAAAACATTGTATTACGTAAGTATTAATTTTCAAAATCTTATTTACCTATATATTTTTTGACTATAAAATAATTTAATATGGTTTTATCTCATACATTTTTCCTATTTCGTAACATATATTAAATGTGTATACAATAAATTAAGGTATTACAACGTTAATCCATTGATTGGATAAAAATAATTTATTTTCAATAGAAAAAATATTTTTTTGTTAAATTAAAAAAACAATGTAAAAGTTTAAGAAAGTTGTGTTTAATAACATAACACACTTCTCGAAAATATTTTTAGATGTGGAAATAATAGAGATTGTACCTTTATAATAGACTAATGAAAAAATTAGTTATATTTTAATGATATCAAAACAATTATATTTTTTTGATTATTAATAACTAAAAAGAATATAGAATACCTACATTTCGAATTTTTGAAAATAAGATGTAGTAACGTGACATTATTATATAGGACCTACTACATAATTGACTGAAAGAAAAGTTTTTAATACATATTTATATCTATATATAAATCCAGGTAACATTGAGAATTTTATCACCAACGCGTAATCATGAAGGGTAGAAAGTATTGAAGCAAATACATTCTTGTGCAATTTTTAGAGGAATGAGTAAGGGCTAAAGCCAATGAACCGTAGTATCCATTGAATTTGTAAAAAGGGGACATTATTGTTGCCGAAGTAAACAAGAAACAACAACATAGCTAGTTCGTCAAAGAAAACCTCTTACAAAAGTTCAACACACGTATAATCATACTATTGAACTAAAAATAATTTACTAAATATTATGCTACATCGTTATTTAATAAAGTATGATAGTAATTACTTGAACAATTAATTAATCTTAGTGTAAGTACAGTTTTATATTCACTTTATTAGATCATTTTCAAAATGGTTATGAAAAATACAGTTAATTATTAGTAACATAACAAATTGACAATTATTTTGTTTAAATCATGATAAAAAAAGTAAAATAGTAAATGAAAGTGTTACTAATGGGTGACTGCTTTCCTCAAAAATGTCACATATTATGTTTAAATGTTATTAAAGATATGGTTTTTTTTTTTTAATAATTTGTGTATAGCTAATCTGTATCACATCTACTTATTGTGCCAAAGCGGTATAGATTTTAGATTGCATTTAAAAAAATCAACAAAAAAAAAAAAAAAAATCATGATAAATTTATAATTTTATTTTAGGTTGCAATTTTGTTAAAATTTACAAAAGGAAAAAAATATATGGTCAAAATAATTGTACTATAATACTATATTTTATTAATTGAATACTTTTAATCTGCCAATTAATGATAGTAATTGACGGTTTAATGTAAGATCTTTATAAATCAATATCTATTTATACATGTCATTTGTATGGACTTCCAAAAGGGGAAATACCTGTCTTGCGACAGGACAAAACCGCAATTAGTCTTATTAAGGACATAGTCGTAAAATCTTTGAAAATCTCTGTGCTACTATTTTATTGAGAGGTAGGATGATGGAATAATTACGTGGGCGAAAACAGTGTAAGAAAAAAAGGTACCTATGCAATGTAAAAATTCAGAATAAGAAAAAAACGAAAATTTTGGCCACAGTAATTGGACGAATTGAAACATAGACAAACGATTGCTTTGTAAAATAACTGAAAAATGGCATGGACGCAATAGGGAGGCAGTAGTGAAATGTTGAACTCCATCAATAATGTCAAAAGCGACAGCAAAAAGCTTATTAGTAGAAACCCAGAAAAAAATGTATCGCAATACATTAAAAGTTTATAAACATTTTGTCGAAAACACTTGTTACAATTTTATACCATATCTAAGACAGTGTGTTAGAAAATATGAAAATAATTATTTTGATAAACAAGTATTTAATTACTTAGAAACCAGATCTTTTGCGTTTGTAATTCAATTTGTAAAATATACTGTACAGCGTTTTAAGTTAATTTTTATGTATGGAGCAATATATATTTATATAAATAAGTAATATTAAAACAAGAAAAATCCAGTAAAAACCTATATAATATAGCCTACGTATCACCTAGTTATAGACCAGTAAACTACTAGTTTGAAAATATCCTCATGGGAGGCTGCAGTTGGGCCCAACAAGATTAATCGACCAAGGCTAGGTCGTCAATCACCAGACAAATAGAAAACTAGAAACAATATAAAACAAAAAAAAAAAAAAAAACAGAATAATCTTTCGGATAGCAAATGTTAGAAAACCTCAATGGTGCACTAACGATGTTAAGAGTTTAAGACATAATGCGTGGATTTAATGTGATAAAATATAATAAGGCGATTTTTCTTAAATTTTTTATATTTTTCTTCTTTTAATTGTTGATTATAGTCGTTAATAGTAATTTTAGTATGATCTCTGATCAAATCAAATTATGTCGTAAAAATTATAATCAAGTACATAATTTTCAAGCCAAGTATACAAAATATCAAGAGTAACTTTGATTAAAATAAAATGTTTACAAATGTAAAAACAAATAGTTGCGTATTTATAGTTAAACGTGCCAAGAAGAAATGCCAAGATTGTTGGTAAATATAGATAATTGCACAGAATATTTTTAACATGTATTTACCTCATGTATTGATTTTCTTATTAAAGTATCATATTTTGTGAATTGTACATTCATAAGAAATTGTCTACTAGTCGCAATATCACACACGTTCATATAGAACGATAAAGATTAAAAACAAAAATATTATTTATTTGTTTGAAATAAATCAGTTATATCTTAACACGTTTTCGTATAGATTGTGATAATCTCGCTTGTCGTCGAGTATATATATTTTTTTTAACTATCATATACGATTGTACAATTTATATTTAAAGCATGCACGTTCAGTATTAGACATACCAGATGTATCTTATGTAGACACTTCTCAATATATTTTGAGCATTGTGAATTAATATGTCTTAAACAAAAAATAAAAATATAATATTTTGACTTGATTGTTTTTTTGAAGAGTGCATAACTACGAGCTTAACTGGATTTAATATTTATAATATGTATACATAATATTTGGATTTTTATTTTTGTGTTAACAATATATTTATGTACGTAGTGTTTGCTTTTAAACATAAACAGAAACGAACAGAACTTTAGCATTGTCCGGATATTACGTTAATAATAATAAAAAAGATCTTATTCAAACGCTGTCTTTGGAAATAATAATAATAATAATAATAAATTCGCACATCATATTATATCATCAAAATATATAGTGTTACAAAAACACAAAATGTATTACTGCAGCCATACGAAAGACTATATGATTGTAATCGTTCTGTAAAACTCACGTGTTATTGTGTCGTCACAGGTTTAGTAATAATATTATTATTACGTGTCACTATAATATTATAATACAACGTAATAATTTACACGTGTTATGAAAAAATATATCGAAAATGTGTTCACTTCCTAACGAGAAAATTCGATACAATAATATATCATAATATTATGCGTCGTCGCCAAACATTCCAAACATTCAAAAAATGTCGTTTACACGTCGGTGACGGTGAAGACAAATTATACAACTCGCCGAAGCGGATCCTTTCCAAGAACACCAAAAATAACGACCTAACCCTTTGATGTTTACAGCTACTACGCGTACGATGTACGTATAGGTATAGTAGTGCGATTTCGGCTGTACAGCTTTTTTCCTTGTATATTTAAGATGCGAGCGCGGGAAATTGAAAAAGTCACTCAACCGTATTTCATTTTAGTTATACATATTATATTATATTTATGTTTATATATATATGTGTGTGTGTGTGAATGTTTATGAATCAACTACAATATACATTCATTGCAGTTTGTTACTAGTGCAACGCGTATCACGGAAAGAAACGGTATCATGAAATATTTAATAATTGACTTTTTCAACAAAAAAATGCTTTAGGAAGCGTAAACAGTGGTATACTCGTACTTATCATAAATTCCCAATAGCAATAATAATAAAATCAAGATCGTCTATCGTGAATACATGATGCATTAAAACTGTATAAGCGTATATATTCATATAAATATGCGTAAAATTATCACCTTTTATCGAAACTTATTAAAAACCAACGATATCGATATCGAGTTGGAATAACACCTATATAATACACATTACAATTCAAGGTTTATTATAACTAGTCGAACAGAGCATAACAATAGTACTAGTAAGTAGTAGTATTATAAATACATAGTAAACGCAAAGGAAAATTATAATCGTAAAACATGATATTATTAATAAATAATATTAAATATTTTGACTGAAAATGAAAATTAATATTACCATTTGTTTTAATATTTATAAAAAAAATATTTTTCATTTTATAAATTTAAAAATGTGTAGGTACAACTGTTGAATATTTCCATTTCTGATTTATGAATTATAACCTAATATCATATTATACTAATACGTTATACAATGCCATAAATAATAAAAATAATTCACCTATATTATAGTATGAATAATATAAGAGCATATTTGAAAAAGAATAATACAGAGTTGAATGGTTTTGATGAAATTCAAAAGCATTTTTAACGTGTATACAGAAGCACTGAGAATACTGATGGATTTAAGAATCGTTCATTCAATAAAGTAACCATTGACCTCAT